GCTGACCTTTTCAGCAGTTTCTGATTTCCAACATCTGCAATTCTTCAGTGCTTGTTATTAATGAATACTTGGTAAATTACAAAATTAAATATTTCACTTTCAGGCCAATTGTATTTTTTCAGATTTCCATCTCTGATTGCCTTCTTACTTTTGTATTGAGATGGTTCTTAGTCTCTACAGCTTTGCTTTCCTCCCCATAATTTGTCTCTAACCTTCTGAGAGCACCCTTGTATCAAGTTTCTGCATGTTCTTTATCTAAATAAATCTCTTTTATGCTGGATTTGTAGATGGCATTTATACCTCACACTTGATTTTTAATTTAGTCCATTTAAGGTAAGTATTTGTTTGAGTTTCATTAGTTCCTTATGAAGATGAGCTTATCCTGCATGTTTTAATATTTGCTGTCTTTTAGAGCTGTTGCACTTATCCTCCAGTGAAGTGTTGAATTGCCTATCCCAGTGCATTTGTATTCATTTTTCCTTGTTTTGAGTTCAGTTGTTTCCTAATTGGATAATTTATTTTGACGTTTCTCACCCTGTACTTACTATCCCTTGGCTGATGCAGTTTCCAGTTGCTGTCTCTCTTTTCGGTCATTTCAAAGTGCCAGGTCAAAATTAGCACTGGCTGTTGTGGCTTCCTTGAGAAACTTGGTCATGAAACAGCCGTGCACATAATGTTTGTTTACCAATTCTGACTCTGAGCCACTTCCAATTTTCCATCAAAATAACTAACATTCCCGTTCTCTCTCTCAATCCTTTTCTTGCTGACCTGGAGCAGAACCCAGTGGAAGTTTGAGTTTTTTTTTCTCCTTTACTTGAAGTCTCAAATTAGAAATTTACTTTGAGGCTGAACGTTTCCAGGTGTTTTTGATATACAAGGCTATGCTATCTTCTTGTCTACCACTGTCATTTCTTGATATTGAATCTATTTGATTATGTTTCATTTTTTGTTACTCAGAGATCACTATGGTTCACTAAGGGGAGGCAGTGGCCTAGTGATATTATCACCAGACTATAAATCCAGAAACTTAGCTAATGTTCTGGGGACCTGAGTTCAGATCCTGCCATGGCAGATGGTGAAATTCAAATTCAGTGAAGATCTGGAATTAAGGGTTTAATGATGACCATAAAATCTTGTTTGCAATAGAAATTACCTTGGATTGACATTTTGACTTTGCAAAGGATGAAGAGGCAAGAGTACGTAAATTTTCATATAAGTATTTAACATGAATGTTGGAAGAATTTATTGAAAACTGAATTTGTTAATGAATGAGTTTGAGAAATATTTCATACCTTGGAAAAATATTTCATCTAAAGATCAGTATGTTACCTGGTCTAAGTTCCATGTATAATCTACCACAATAAAGGCAGCATTGTAACTGAGAAATCAGCTAATGAAGCCAAAGTCAGTTCACTCAAAGGAGGAAATCAAGATCAACAGAAAGTAATTAATATTACAGAGAAACAAAAACTATCAAAACTCAGCTAAAAAACACTTGTTCAGTGCTGACATCCCAGTAAGTGGTGTGTAACAGAATGCTGTAATAAAATAAAAAGAAAAATGACACCTCATCAGCAATGATCAAAGATGTAGTTTTTCTCTCTGAAGAAGAGCAATCCTAGATTATAATTGCTGTATGGGATGTGATTTGTACAGATGATGATAAACATAAGAAAATTGAGTAAGAATAGGTTATTCGATCCCTGGAGTGTGCTGTCTCATTCAGCAGGAACTTAAATCTGATTGTGGCCGTAACTTCACTTTCCTGCCTGTCCTCTGTAATCCTCGACTCCTTGTCGATCAAAAAAGTTGTCTAACTCCTGGTCTTGAATGTATTAAAATGACCCAGGCTCCGTTGTTTGCTGTGGAAGTGTTTCAAAGACAATCTGAGAGAAGAAATTCTCCCTCATTCATGTCTTAAATGAATATCCCTTATTTTGAAACTCTGCCCCCCAAGTTCTAGATTTCCCCTTAAGGTGAAACACCTCTCGGGATTTACACTGTAAAACGGCTTCAAAATTTTGTGCGTTTCAACTCAAGATTCTTTTAAAATCTTTGCAGGCCTCAGGCAAATGACAACTATAATTTTAAGGTTGGCGCAGGACCTCAATGTAATGTTTAGTCACAATCTTGGTATAAGAGACTAAGATGAACCGAACAACTCCAAATTCAAATTTGGTCTTGCCAGAATATTCACACAAAAAGAGAACGTGCATGAACACAAAAAAATTGCCATGGTTTAGAACATCAAATTCCAGAATGATGAATTCAAGCAGTCCTTATAGCTTGAGCATGCTGAAAGTCAGGATTAAACATCGCAATTAGTCAAGTTTATTAAATACCTAAAAGCGATGTCAAGTATGCTGTTGTATTTAGGTACGTAGGGATTTACAGGACTGGAAAATATCTTTATGGAATCTATTCAGACGACACCAGGTTATGGTCTAGCAGGTTTATTTGAAATCACAAGCTTTCAGAGTGTTGCCTCTGAAGTCAGGACAACGCTTCAAAAGCTTGTGTTTCAAATAAACTTTTTGGACTATAACTTGGTGTTGTCTGACTTCTGACCTTGTCCACCCCAGCCCAACACTGGCACCTCCATATCATAAAATTTATTCAGCCATTATCTAAGTAAGTGTCAGTAACACTATAAAGTTCGTAACACATTGCACAGAAATTTGCGATCATTCAGATTTGATGTTAAACTGAATGGTCATTTGACATTTTGAAATTCTGAAAATTCTATTTTTTATTTAACTGATTTGTTGGCCTGTAGCAATTGTTGATTGTCAGGAAAAACCCATCTAGTTCACTAATGTCCTTTTAGGGAAGGAAATCTGTCATCCTTATCTGGCCTTGACATGTGACTCCAGACACACAGCATTGTGGTTCACTGTTAACTTCCCTCGGGGCAAATAGGAATAGGTTAAAAAGTGCTGGTCTAGCCAGAGATGCCCTCATTCTGTGAGTGAATGAATAAAGGGATAAAGGCTATAAAAGCTTCCATTTCTGCTATCGTATTTCTACTCCTTCTGGTGCCTTGATATAGATTTGCTTCCTTTCATATCTCTGTTCATATCACTATGATGCTTAATGGTCATTGAGGGCCTAAAGCAAACCAGTGGACAAAGTGTGCTCCCTCTGTTGGGCACCTGAACTTAGAATATGAAGCGATATTGCCAATCCTCAGAGTACCTGCAAACTACTCAGTGAATCAATTACCCCATTTTGCCAAATTTTATGAAAGACAAACATATGCCCAACTAGCAATTTAAATGATATTAAATTACTAGATGATGAAATAAAGATGGAGGCTATAAAATAAGTGAAATGAATCAATATTCTTATCCAGGGCAGTCACTCAAAACTGAGGGTGACCTTCTTCTGTTCTGGAGTTGAGTCCTGAAGTGACTAAATAATCCAAAGCTGGATCCACATACCTTGCCACAAGGGTTAAAAGTGGTGTTTGAAGAGGAATGTGGAATGGATGTTCATGTTTTCAAATGCCCCTTCTGTTATTAGCCCTTGCTCTCTATCTGGGCTTGGCAGAGATTCTCAATGATTGGCAACTTTGGAATCTACTTCTCCAGTCTGGGTAATCTTGGGCAAGAGATTCCCAAGTGTTAGTGTGGTTATTGCATTTCTTCTAGTGAGGCTTTGAAGGCATTCTTGAAGCATTTCTTCATCCACCTGAGTTGTTGAGTATTTGATGACTATTCTAATCAGTGAATAAAATTGATACAAATATGGGAATAAATTCTTGACGACATTACATAGCAAGAATGCTGATAAGCTAAGATATCTGCTTTTAGTAAACAGTGCTTGCAGGGCTTTTAACACCTTAGTGAAGCTGTAGATACTAAGAACCATCTCAATACAAAAGTGATGGATTTTGGTGTTGGTTGTATTGAGATATACCTGATCAGCCTCTTGACAAATGTTTTCTGTTTGAAACTAAATACTCTCAATTGCTCAAAGAGGGCTGTTGTGATGCAGTAGCAGTGTCCCTATGTCTGGACTAGAAGGTCTGGATTCAAGTCCTACCTGATCCAGAGGTTTGTCATAACATATCTGAACAGATTGAGTTAAAAGAAAATACAAATTTGACATGCTAGCCATCAGTTGAATTGTTTTTGAACATGTTTGGTTTGTTTATGTACATTACAGCAAAATATTTTCAGTCTCTTCCTGCAGTGTTTGCCAGTATGTCTAGGAGGCGTGTCATTACATCCGGTAGTAATACTCCTTAGAATTTAAAAGTCTGGATGCCAAGAGCCAAGAACAAAGGGAAAGCATGAAGCTCTGCCATTCTATTTCCTTGTAAGCCCATAATTTGGTCCTTACTACCAGTCTCCCGCCCAGTGTCTTTCTGTTCGTCCATGCCCCACACCAAATCTGAAACCTGTTGTGTTTTCGTTGTGTGCTCCAGGTCTTTTCTTCCTAATTCTTTAATAAAATATTTTCTACTCAATTCTCTTGGCAGTTGGTGAGCCTTAATTCCACTGTGCACTGTTGTTCCATTTCATTTAAATACATAGTTTATAAACTATTTGACAGTACCAAATTTCTGAAATGCCCTTGCCAGTAGTTTTGCACTGAGGGAAGATGGGAAGGTGGCTGCTGCACGGAGGAAACAGGCAGTCGATCAGAGAGAATTAGTTAGCATTTCTGTTATGATGCAAGGCCATTGACCTGTTGCATTAACTTTCTCTCTTTTTCTTTCTTTCTTTCTGTACAGATTCTGCTAGCTCTGTTGAGTGTACCTAGCTATTTTGCTTATTTCAGTTTTCTAGCATTCACAAAACTTGGCTTTTTGTAAAATATATTAACATTTTTCATGAGCATTTACTTTCTTTGATTTGTACCCTTCTTTTAAATCTGAGTTAGTATGAAAGCTATGTTTCAAATTTCCTGAGGATAATTTCAATTGTACAGCCCCATTTTAGTGCCAGTTCTTGTTCTTCAAATTGATACTTAACTATTTTTTCTTTCTGCCATAGGATGGGAGATTAATGTGGGAGCAGGAAATGTACAACAATTTTGTTTACAATCCATCTCGATCATACTTCCATACTTTTATTGGTGATGTATGTTATTTGATTGTTTTACTGTCTAGTTTTATGACTTTTAATGTTTAATAATAGTTTTATAATGATGATGAGCATGCTTTGCAATGAAGGTTAAACATTTCTTAAAAATAAATGTTCTGATTGGTCTTGAGGCATAGCATGCTAAATTAACACATTCTAGGGTAACTAAATGTCTGTTGGTTAAGAGACATACAACATTTGAAAATAAAATGTTCAACCATCTCAAAGCATGAGCTGCATTTTTTCACTTTAAATATTTAACAAAACAGTTGCATGTATATATGCCTCCTTTCATGACCTTGGGTATCCCAAAGTGTACTACAGTCAATGATGACATTAGAAGGAGGTGATGACATTGTGATTGTCTCGACTAGAAATCCAGAGACCCAGATAATCCTCTGGTGACCCAGGTTCTAATCCCATGATGGCAGGTGTTAGGATTTGAATTAAAAATATGGAATCAAAAGTCTAATGGTGACGTTGAAACTATTGTTGAGCATTGTAAAAACCTATTTGGTTTACTAATGGAAGGTGTATAATTTGCACGTATTTTAATAACATTTATGGAGTTTAGATTTTGAACTACTGGCATGTTACAGTCTCTGTATGGGAGGCTTTAATGTTTAACTTGTTCATTTTCAGCAACCATAGTTTTTTTAAACCTGGTTTGAGAGAAGGAGTAGGAGTTAATTCAGACAAGTTAGGAAGTAGGTTACTTTAGTGTAAGGGCTTGAGTTTGAAAGTTCCAGGCCAGAAGTGTTTAGTTAGGACCCTGGAAGGGCTATTCAATGCTGAAAAAGATTAAGATAAGTTCCGTCAATTCTCAAGGAAAAGGCTATTAAACTTTTAAATCCAGAAAATCCATAGGTGTAATAGAGAAGGTAATTTTCTCGAATACTGTATTGTTGCAGGGTGCCGTTGGGATAGGTTGGATTGCATTTTTACTGTGTTTCAAAATCTTCCAAGTTGTGATAAACGTAAATAGCTTGGTTTATTTCACTTAATCTTTTTTCATAATAAACTTCTGTTAAACCAGATCTCTGCAGCATTTAGTGCTTGTGTTTCAGTGAAAGACTATGATGTGAGACAATGTTTTTTAATTTATCAAGCCAGATTTCGGTCAGGGATCTGACTGTTCAGTAATAACATCAGTTAAGATCAAAACAAATGTCCTTTTAGGAACATGCAACTTCAAGCTCAATAATATGGTTGACTATTAACTGCACTCTGAAATGGCTTACTAAGCCACTTGGGTGTATCAAACTGCTATAAAGTCTCAAAGGAACAGGATTGGATGGACTACTCACACCAGTATAGGGACTGCAAACAACAATGCTAAAAATAGCATCTGGCTCATGCCAGAACTGAGAAAGCTGTCTCATTGACGAATCAAATATAGTCATACTTGTGGAATAGTTCTTTTAAAGACAGTTTCACAAACACCACTGTCACCATCCCTGGGTATGACCTGTTCAACTGGCAGGGTGGACCCAGCAGAGGTAGTAACATAGTGGTTGGCAGTCAGGAGAGAGTTGCCTTGTGAGTCCTCAACATTGAAATCTCATGGCATTGGGTCAGACATGAGCAAGGAAATCTGCTGATTTCCACCTATTACCCCTGCTTGGCTGATGAATCATGACTGCACCATATTGAATGTTACTTGGAAGGAGGCAAGTGTGCAGAATATACTTTGGATGGAGGACTTCATTTGTCCATTACTAGTAGTGACTCGGCAATGCCACTATTGATCAAACGGGCTGAGTAATAAAGGACATAGCTGCTACACAGCATCTACAGAATCAACGAGAGAAAACGTACTTGACCTGATCCTCGCCAATTTGCCTGCTCAGATGCATCTGTGCACAATAGAAGTAACAGTATTAGTAGAGGTAACCACCATACAGTCCTTGTGGAGACAAATCCCTGTGTTCGCAGTGAGGTTACTGCCTATCTGTCATGTGGCACTACCACCACACTAAATAGGAGAGACTTTTAACAGATTTAGCAACTCAAGCTGGGCGTCCTTGAGGCACTGTGAGCTATCGGCAGCATCCAAATTGTATTCAAATATAATCCGCAACCTTGTAGCGCAGCATATTCCCCTCTACCATCAAGTTAGAATATCGATCCTGGTAAATGAAGAAGGTAGGTGAACAGTCAGAAACAGTACCAGGTATATGTTAGGTGTCAACCTGGTTGAAACAGCACTTTGTTTTCAGTCCACAAGGCTATTAGCCTGGTTCTGTTTAGGTGAACGCTATTGACGTTTTAACAGTTTCATCACCCCCAGACATAAAATGTCCAAATAATCTAAAGCCTTCATCCTGTACCATCTTTCTAGCCATTCACCTTAACTCCAAGCCCCTAGTTGCAAAGGACAAAATTCCATTTGTCGTCTTAATTACTTAATTGCATGTTGACTTTGTTTCGTACACAAGAACATCCAGATCCTCCTGTACTACACTCTCTTTTTGGAGTCTATCTCTGTTTAAACAATAGACTGTCATTTGATTACTTCAACAAAAGTGCTTGACCTCCCTGTCCTATATTAATCTCCATCTGTCGAGGTTTTATGCATTCATTCAGCCTGTCCTGCAGATTCATAATGTCCTCATCACAATATGCCGTCCCACCTATTTTTGTATTGTCAAATCTGGATGCATTACGCACTGCCCTTCCAAGTCACTGATATAGTTAGTGGAGACCCTAGAAGTGTTCTTTGAGGCATTCCACCAGTAACGTTTTTCCGACGTGAAAAGGAGTCATTAATCCTGACTCTCCTCTGTGTGTTAACCAATCCTTGATCTGTGTTAGTACCTTATCCCCAGTACCTCTTATTTTGTGCAATAGCCTTTTATGTAGCACCTTATTGAATGCCTTCTGGAAATCCAAAAACACTGCACCTACTGATTCCCTTTATCAATGTTGCTTGTTATATCCAAAAGAACTCTTGCACATTTTTCAAACCTGATTTCCCTTTCACAAAACCATGTTGACTGTGTTTGATTGCATTAAGTTTTTCTAAATGTCTTGCTATTTATTCCTTAATTAATGGACTGTAGCATTTTGCCAGTGACCGATATTTGCTTCTTTCTGGCTGGTTTCCTGCTTTCTGTCTCCTTCCTTTCTTGAATTGGGGTGTCATATGAGCAGTTTAAACATCTGCTGGAACACTGGGAATCGATGAATTCTGGAATATTTCGACTGTTGTCTCCGCTATCATTGTATCTACTTCCTTGAAACCCTTGGATACAGGCCAACAGGTCCTAGTGACTTGTCTGCCTTTAGTTCCATTAATTTATTAATTGTTTTGGCCTGCATGATAAAGGCTGTTACAAGATCTTTCCTTCCATTAGCACCTTGTTTATCTGTTAGCTTTGAATGTTTGTTGTGTCTTGCATTGTGAAGGCTGATACAAATGTTAATTTCAGTTATCTGCCATTTCTGTTTCCTGTTATTGGTTGTCCAGTTGCATCATCCAAGGGTCCTTACCTTGGCTACTCTTTTCATGTATCTGTTGAAGCCGTTGCTGTTTTATATTTCTTGCCACTGTATTTTCATCATCTGTTTTTCCTGTTCAGTTTTTAATCATCCACTGCTGAGTTCTGGAATGTTCCCAATCCTCTGGCCTACTACTTTCCACCACTTTAGATGCTTCCATTTTTGGTTTGATACTGTATTCTACCTCCTTGTTAACAACAGATAGTCCATCCTTCTCATTGAGTGCTTTCTTTTTGACTGGAATAAATTTTTGCTGAAATGTCTGCTACTGTTGATCCACTTAGACTAATTTCCCAACATACTTTGGGGACAGCTCTTTCTTCATATCTCTGTAATTAACCTTATTTAATTTGAGGTCACTGCTTTGAGACTCGAGTGGCTGTCCTTCAAACTGAATTTGAAGTTCTTCTGTGTTGTGGTTGCTACCCCTTTAAAAGATCATTAACTATGAATTCTCTTATTAATTCTACCTCATTTTAAATTACTAACCAAAAATAGTTAGTTCATGGATAGGTTCTACAATGTGCTGTTTGAAGAAATAATCCCTGATGCATTCTTCAAATTTGCCTTCCATATTGCCCTGCCCATCTAATTTGCCCACTCACTAGACAGAAAAAAAATCACCCATTACAGTTGTAGTGCCCTTGGAATACACCTCATTATTTCCTGATTATACTTTGTCCTGCAGTGCAACAGCTCTTCAGGGCCTACAGGATACTGCCATCAGGGTCAGTGGTTAGCACCGCTGCCTCACAGCGGTAGGGACACAGGTTCAATTCCACCCTCGGATGTATGTCTATGTGGAGTTTGCACGTTCTCCCAGTGTTTCTGTGGGTTTCTTCCGGGTGCTCCAGTTTCCTCCCAGAGTCCAGGGATGTGTAGGTTAGGTGGATTAGCCATGGGAAATGCAGGGTTACAGAGATAGGGTAGAGAGGGTGAGTCTGGGTAGGATGCTTTTCGGAGAGTTGGTGTGGACTTGTTGGGCCGAATGGCCTGTTTCCACACTGTATAGATTCCATGATTTCTTTCTCTTGCTATTCCTATTTCCACCCAAACTGTTTTCATATTACAATCTATTTCACATATATCACTGCTTATCACTGCACTGATAAACACTTCATTAATAATGCTATCCCACCTCTTTTACCTATTTTTCAGAGCTTCAAAATACCCTTGAATGTTGAGTTCACCCTACCGCCATGTTTCTCTAATTGCTTTCGATATAATTTATTTCCATTTATGCTGTAAGTTCATCTAGCTTGTTACAAATGCTTATTCTGGATTGAATTTCTACTAGACTCATGCCTTACTTTTTCTCCTTCCTGATGTACTTTGATTGTGATTTGTCTCTTCTCTACCCGGCACCTCTGGCTCGATTCCCTTTGATTTTCATAACTTCCCTTCACAGTCTCTAAAGGGCTGTCTACAATCCTTACTAGATGATTCATCAGAACTCTGGTCACGATGGTTCATCAGAACTCTGGTCACAATGATTGAAATGAAGTCCTTTCCCCAGTACTGATGCCAGTGCCTTATGTATGGCAACCTATTTCTCCCACTCCAACCGTTGAGCCCTACTTTTACCCCGTAGTCTTATTTACCCTGCACAATTTGCGTATAGCTCAGATAGTGATCGAAGATTATTACCTTTGTGATTTTGCTTTTTCATTTAGCCCCAAGCTGCTTCTAAACCCTCAGTACAACCTCTTTGCTAATTCTTCCTACGTTGTTGGTGCCTATGTGGTCCACTAGAGCTAGGTCCTTCTCTCCATTCCAAGTTCCTCTCAAGACCACAAGAGGTACCAACATGCGCTGCAATTCCTCTTAGTTCATCCTCCCACTTTGACATTCCTGAACCTGGCCCCAGGGAGGCAACATACCATCCTCCATTCAACTCTATGGTTAAAGTAACTTGTGACTCTCCTAACTATTGAATCACCAATTGCTATTGCTCTTCTAGTCATTTCCATGCCCTGTGTATATGGAAATGTACACAGGTCTGTGTGTACATCTCTTATACAATACCTGATCACAGATTAACAAAATTGTGAATTTTTGCACACAGAATCTACTTTGGGAACCTGGATTCGTTTTCAGCCTTCAGTGACTGTCTATTTGCAGTTTGCACATTCTCCCTGATGTGCAGGTTGTGTGGATTGGCCATGCTAAATTGCCCTGTAGTGTCCAGGGTTTTCTAGTCTAGGTGGGCTAACTGTTTTAAATGTGAGAATTACAGGGACAGGGTGGAGTCAGAGGGTCAGTGAAAGCTCAATGCGCTGAATGCCTCTATCTGTACTATAGGGTTTCTTTGATTCTATTTACGGGTTAATTGATGTGGTTAGATTAAAAAAATTGAAAAACGTAACTCGCATTTTTCTAGTAACAATGATTTCGCAATGACCTCTTTCCCAGGCAAGTCAAATAGGACTTAATTTTGCAAGTGAAGAAGAAGCAAGAAGATTCAAGTTTGCAGTCAATGACATAATTGGAAGACGCCAAAGAAGAACTGGTGTGTACTCTGGTTGTTGCATACTCTGTGTATTTTAATGATGTGAGTAATGTGCTTTGGCAGCTGTTCACTGCTTTTTAAATAGTAACTTCAATTGTCCTAAACTGATTTTTTTTTTAATTGATGATGGGAGAGGCAGGATGTCCATTAGCTTCATCAAAAGGTATACTCTAGTGACTTAATGATTGGCCATTAAGGTGAATTGAGCTTCCTTTGTTAGGTTTTATTAAAGTAGCAGTTCAAACCAATATTTACCCTTCTCTGCCAGTTTCATTCAACTCCTTGCCTTCAAAATAATTTTGTCTCTTTACAAACTGTGTTTATATTTTAACCTTTATAGACTGATTTAATGACTGAATTTGGTTATGATTTTATTCCATTCTCTGAGACATTAACTTGAGTAACACAGTATATTGATGGGTGGCGTGGTGGCGCAGTGATTAACACTGCTGCCTCACAGCACCGGTGACTCGGGTTCAGTTCCAGTCCTTGGGCGATTGTCTGTCTGTGTGGAGTTTGCATGTTCTCCCAGTGTCTACATGGGTTTCCTCCGGGTGCTCCTGTTTCCTCGCACAGTCCAAAGATGTGCAGGTTAAGTGGATTGGCCATGCTAAATTGCCCATAGTGTCCAGGATGTGTAGGTTAGGTGGATTAGCCATGGGAAATACAGGGTTACAGGGATAGGGTAAATGGGTGAGTCTGGGTAGGATGCTGTTTGGAAAGTCGGTGTGGACCTCTTGGGCCAAATGGCCTGTTTCCACGCTGAAGGCATTGTATGAAAAAATTCACTATATTTTAGTGGAAGCAGTCATATTGTTATATCTATTTATAGCATGTGCAGACCTACCTATGAAACTTAAGTTTTTTAATCAAATTCCAATATATTTTTGTTCCAACAGAGAAAAGACGAGAGCCACCACCGCTAAATGGTATGTATCTAGAATTGTTTCCAAAGTATCGATTGACCTAAGTTAAAGCAATGTGTTGTGGATGCTGGCAATCTGAAACAGACAAAAACAAAGTGTTGAAAGCACAGCAGTTGCAAATCAGCTGTCTCAAGATTAACTGAATTAACATTTCAGGTTGATGACATTTCATCACAATTGAATAAATTAGAGATGAATGGCTTTTTAACATGTCCAGATCAAGGAAATGGAGGGGGGGGCGGTGCTAGAAAAGAATAAATGCAAGGAATCTGTGAAAGCTTCAAATCAAGAGTGATTAAACAATGAAAGCAATGAAACCAAAATGAGGTGCTTCGTGTCTACTGGGCTTGATGTTGAGTTCAACAATTTCATACCAAATAATTGAACGCTCATTGTTTTGGGGGAGGAAGCAGCTGTTAAGGGTTATTACTGCCCTTTGATCATTAATTTCTCCAGCTTTCCACTCATCACAGAATTTGCCTTTTGCTCTTTTCCTACCCCTCTTTCTGTCTAGCTTATTTAAAGCTAGTTATATCTCTGAAGTTTTCCTGTCTGCTGAGCAGTTGTCAAACTGAAACAATAACTTTGTTTATTCTCACCACTCTCACACCGCCTGACCTGAATATTTTGTCATATATTCAGATCTATAATGTTTTTAGAAAATTAAACAAATAAGAACACAAGATGGGTCTAAAATAGATGTAACTGTCTGCAGTGGAGGAGAAAACACAGAAAATTTGGTAAAGATCAGAAGGCTGCAGTGGCTCAGGAGAGAGGCAGAAGAAAGTTGAGTAGATCCCAAGGATGGAGATCAGCTTGCTGGGAGACCCAACACAAGCAACTAGGCTCTATTTTCAATATAAAATAGCTGAACTTCATTACCAGGACCTGCTGACTGAGAGAATGCGATTGGTGACTAAGACTTGAAGTTTAAAGCCAGAAGGCAGCAAGGTGCCTGCGAGGAAGATGAGGTGGTGTTCATCAAGTTATTGTTAAAATTATTTGACCCGTTTCAGTAATCCAAGGTTGGGAGTGAGGTGGAGAATTAAAATGGCATGCAGCTGGAAGCTCATGATCAGGGTTGCTTGCTGAAAAATATTTAGAAACAACTGTGGCCCATCAGTTTTGTTTTCCTAAATTTACAAGTGAATGTGGTAAGCAATGAATAAAGTATACTGACTTTGAAGAAATTTAAGAAAAATCTCTTGCCTAATAATGAATATTGAGGATAATTAAAACTCAGTTATTTTTATTTCTAGCTTTCCCCTTGGTCCACTGGATAATGCAGTCTGGCTTCAAAGAGGCTTGTAGGATGTTCCAGTAGGAACTAAGTTTACAATTTTATGCGTTTTGTGTGCATTAAGTAGAATCTTATGCTTCATAAAATTTAAAATGAACACTGAATCAAAAGGGATATTTGGAGAAGTGATCAAAAGCTTGATTGAAGTGGGTAATTTTAAAAAGCTCTCAAAGGAGGTGGAAAGGAGGAAAGATAAAGCACAGTAGCCACAGTCAAACAAATGGGCAATTTATTGGGTTGATGAGATTTGGTTGTTGTAGATCGAGCAGAACTTTTTTGGCAACAGGTCATTGGCGTTGGATGTTGTGATGTTTCTGATGCACAGAGGAAGAAAGAAGAACATTGTAGCATTTGAATGCGGGGTAACAAAAGAATGGCTAAACATGTCAACTGCAAAGAGATTATGTTACTGGAGGAAGAAATGTGTCTTTGTAATGGAGTCGACGTGTTTTTGGATACTATCTCCGGGTTAGAAAGGCTGTAATGTTGCTAACTATCTCGTTAGTACAGAATCGGCCATGGAGAGGATGAAATTAAGTAATTTTCAAGGGAAATTTTCTAAGTCTTCTACCGTGAAGAGAGACACCAAAATATCTGTTTAATACCACTGCCATTTCCTTGTTGTTTGTTATCCGTTCCCTCGGTTCACTCTCTTGAGGATCAGCATTAACTTTAACTTTAATCACTCAATCTTTACATACTTTTTAAACTTTTATTACGATATTGTCAGCTAGCTTTCTTTCCTATTCTGTTCTGCCCCTCTTTATTTCGTTCTTTGCTGGTTTTTAATATGTCTGATCTTCTGACCTACCACTGATCTTTGAGGCCAGACTGTAAACCACTGTGCTGCCATTTCTTGTGGGTCTGTCCTGCCAGTGGGACAGGATGCCCCCGTGGAGGTTGATGGTGTTTGTGACATTGTAAAGTATAATTCTGTGGAGTATGACTACCTTAGGCTGTTGAGTGACTAGTCTTTGGGAAACTCTCCCAATTGCAAATACTTCCCAGATGTTGGTAAGGAGGACTTTGCAATCGACAGGGCTTTTGCCTATTGTCATTTTCCGGTGTCTAGGCCAATGCCAGATGCCCTGTCCTGTTTCGTTCCTTTCTTTAGACAATAGGCATGCAAAGCAGCCACTTAACCATCTCTTCTTTGAGTTTTCTTCAGACTTGCAGAATCTGTACAGTTGTTTTGATTTGTAGATAATTGGAGGAATAGAACAGAGCCAAAAGGTCAGTTAATTTTTGTCTCGTCAGCCTGGCTTGGACCCCAGTGCTTTTTGATGGAGCAGTTAATAATGAAGCAAGAAGACTTGTGTAAGCATAGTTGTCTATGTTGTTACTTCTCCAGTTATATGCGCTGAGATTAAAGGGAGCCAACTTGTCATACAATATTAGCTACACGATTGGGTTTTAGTCTGTACTTTCTGTACTCTTAAAGAACAAACTGCAGCAAATGTGATGACAGTGAAGCAGTTTATCGGAATTGATCTCTCTCTAGCTCTTATTCCAGGATAGGTACACTCCACTCAAAACATACTTTAGCCCATTTCAGTTTGGATGGTCTAAACCACTGTAGTTTTTCTGAGAGAGAGCATCTTTCAGGATGTCTATTGTCTGATTTATTTTCTGCAATGCAAGTTATTTTTGTACAGAACAGATTATTAAGTTAGTTTAATTCTGGCAATTTGTATAAAAGAGCTAAAATGAATTTCAGAAGTCAAACTGGACAATGAACAAAAATAGAAGGAGAATGGACTTGTGAACCGGTATTAGCTATTAAAATTTAAGATGCTTTTGAAGATGAGATAGCAATGTAGAGTAGTTTCTGCAGGATATTTTGACTATAGGACTCTAAGATGGCAGGGCCTTCAGGTGGATACTGCAAAGGAAGTCAGAATCTGAAGTGGTAAGCATTTAATATCATACAGGGCTGAAGAACCGAGCAAAGATAGTGGTCAAGCCATTGAGGGTCATGTATAAGAATACAACATTAAAGCCATTCATGTGCTCCCAATCCCAGTTAACATGAAAGAGTTGGTATTGTTACTTGGTATTACCAGCTTTTATCACTAGTTCATTCAGGATTGTGCAGAGATGCCAAACCTTTTTGAAAGTTGCTGTGCAAAGATGCTAAATGGTATTGGACACAATGAGATTTGAAACGTACAAAATCCTGAGGAGCCTTGACAAAGTGCATGAGGGTAGGATACGGTCACCCATTAAGACAATTGTGAAGAGAATTTTCTTAAGAACTGTGTGTTTCTGGCATTTTCTTTCTGAAAAGGTTGTGAAAGCTAAGTTTTTGAATATTTTTACGGCAGAGGTTGGTAGATTCTTCATAAATTGGGGGATGAAAGGTAATGAATAGGCAGCTAGCAGAATAATCAGATCAGCCATGATCTTACTGAATGACAGAGTGGGTTTGAGGGTCCAAGTGGCCTACCACTAATTGCTGTGTTCACATTATATGAATAATGAAGGTATTCAATTTGATACAGTAAATGAATGGATAGCTATTAAAGGTGGAAGAAAGCAATGATCGTGAAAAGAACTTACGTTGGATAAGTTTGAGTTTTTAAAATCTCAACCCATTCTGGGTTGAACTTGAGAAGCTAGTAAGGAATGTATGGAGTATTTGAACATGGAAATGACAAAAGTGGATAAAGATTTGCACACAGGTAGAGATCAGATGTGAGTCAAAATGAATAAAGCTGTAATTAATGTAAATGGACAGTCACAGAGGGAACAACTGGAGTTTAAAGCTCAACTTATTGTAAGGCTGAAAACACAAATTACATTCCAACTCATGGCTGATCAAGATTCCACACCCCCTCATCCTTCCCTCAGTGGAGCATGTGTTTAGAACCTGTACCTCATAAATTAAAGAAGCTCGTTTGTGTGTTATATAATTGCAACTTCAAGAAACGAGGGGGATAGTTATTTGTTTCCATTGTAGTGCAGTGCTGATTTTTTTTTTTTTGCATATCTGATTATACTCTGAATATAGAATTTAGGTGTGGTAGGTGACCTGATAACCTGTTCAGCTCTTCAGAAGGTCTACGTGGCAATAAACTAGGATCAGACCCCACCACTTTGCCAGAGGATTTGACAGTTTCATTTGGTTTAATCACTGTGAGAACTTGGGTCATTCTAATTGTTAAGTTAGTGACTAAAATTTGGTAACAATTGCATCAGTCTTAATTTCTAATGGGCCAATAACTTGATTTGATTTCTACAGGACTTCATCAAAAGAAAACTTATAACTGTGTGGTCCTCTACTAAGTCTACAAACACCCACTCGTGATCTTTCATTGTTTCAAGTGGCTTTAACATCTAGTTCTAGGAGTTTAAGTTGAAGTGTACTTTTCACAGCTGTTTTCCATTTTGAATAATTTGATCACTTCATAATTCCAGATCATCCATTTACACTTATTTCAAAATTTAAGATTGAAGAGCAAGTTACATTTTATTTGCATTATTGTGTTGCATCATGAGTTTTATTGTGCAGATTTTATATTTGAGATTCAGATGTCATTTCAATGTTTAGGTAAGTTGGCCTGAAGGAGCTAAAAGAGTTGTATCCAAATGTTGAAACATTTTTATCTTAAAATTGTTCTTGGCAGTAACTTCAACCAGAAATCAGATATGTTTTACCTGCTGTAAATCCAAATATAAGCCACTTTGTTCTGCCTTGAATTTGAGGATCCAACGACAATGCTAATTTAAAATGAGCATGTGCCAAGTGAATAAAAATCATTCTCATGACGTGGAGAGAAGAGAGGTACTCATAAGCAAGTTCGTATACACCTGTCCAGCAAGGGACGAAAAAAAAAGAAAAAAAAATCTGTGTTCCAGCTTGTACTCCTTCTCCCACGCATGCACTGGGATGTAGAAGGAGGAACTGTGAATGTAAAAAACAAATAAAGTGCAAAGCCAATATTTTGTTTTCTTTTTAGGACCGTCTCTTCCTATGGCTACAGTTGACATTAAGAATCCAGAAATTACCAATGTTCGCTACAATGCACAAGTTAACAATTTTGTATATGCCAAAGATAAGAAGAAAGTCAAAGGTAAAAAGAAGAAATTGACTAAGGCGGACATTGGCACACCAAGTAACTTCCAGTAAGCATTCTTGATTGTTCAATAAAACTAGAAAAAGAAAGGTTACTTTCTTAAATTTTTTTTCTTCTGGTAAGGGTAGCTGACCAGAGTAAACTATAATTAATTGTTTTGCTGGCTCAAAATTTCAGATGGTAAAACAGCAACTAGGCAAGAAATTGCTTAGTTAATTCATGCTCTTAGCATTTGTTTTGTAAGTTTTCTGTATTATGCCTCAGATTTTCTATTTGTAAAATATTTTATGCTCCACTTTTATAAGTTACTACATGACATCTCATTGGTAATAAAGAACACTGGATGGAGTTGCATTTCAGAAAATTAAGTCTTAAGAGCCAGCATGGTCAATAACACAAAAAGGCTTGCAGATTGTAACTGCATTTTTACGATGGACTTAATACTGTGGCTAGGTTTTTGTTCCAAATGTAAGTAGAGATGCAACACAAATATAAATAATTTCAATAACTCATTGAGCTCAGCTTCCACTTTATGTATGTCTTTACAAGCTTCACTTTTGCATAATCACTGCAAATCATCTGTGTTCTAAACATATTCCAATATCATTTTTTTTTTAACATTCTGTCATGTCATAAACGGTGTACAGAAGACACATTATTCCAATGTATTTATGATTGTTGCGTTGTATATCTAATTCAGACTGCGATGTTTATCCGTATAATAGTTGAACGCCAACAGGGTCTCACTAAATTACAGTATTCATAATGAAAGGTTCTAACGTATAATGAAAAATGACATATTACTATTTTCTTTAGCTATCTGAGAAAAGTAATGTCCAAGTTTTGGCAAAGATCTGTAGCTCGGATTGTGGATGAGGTTGTTGACTTGCTTGCTGAGCAGGCTTGTTTTTGTTCACACATTTTGTCACCGTGCTAGGTGACAGCATCAGTGGAGCCTCTGATGAAGCGATGTTATTCTACTCCACTTGGAATTTATACTGTACGGTCTGTTATGGTGAGTACTGTCATTTCCGGTTTTGATCTGTATAGGTTTGTATATGGGGTCCAATTCTGTTTGTTTGTTGATTTTGAAGTATGAGTGGAGAACCATGCCTCTAGGAATTCCCGTGCATGTCCATAACTGGGACAAAGTAACCACAGTAGCACAAGCCAAACATAGACACGCATGGTTCTCCATCCATACTTCAATCCACAAACATACAGAATTGGACCCCTACATAAATCCATACAGATCAAAACCGGAAATGACAGTACTCACCATAACAGACCGGACAGTATAAGTTCCAAGTGGAGTAGAATAACATCACTTCATCAGAGGCTCCACTGATGATGTCACCTAGCATGGTGACGAAACGTCTGAACAAAAACAAGCTAGCTTGGCGAGCAAGTCAACAACCTCGAAGGTAATGTCCTTTATACTTTTTTAAGTCAATTGTTTCCTGGCCAAGAAACACAAGCATTGATTGCAACTTTAATGTATTAAATTTATTGAAGACCAAAATAAGTTTATACTGAAAGTCTGACTGCTGTAGTTAAAACACAAAATAATAATCTTTCATCTTAAAATGTCCTATTTTTAGCGATTTCAATACTAATCAAATTACCTGATTCAGTTTGACTTCCACAACTGTCTTTAAGTCTTGAGCTGAAGGATAGGGCGAAAAAATCGACCAGGATTCCCTCTTATGATTTCTATCCATCCTGCCCTTCTTGCTAGGATGCATCTGATGATGCTACCTAAAGGCAATGTTGGTTTCAACCATGATTACCTGTAGTCCATTTGGCCATCTACACCAGGTGTGTCGGAATAACATGCGAAGAATAGCCTTTAGGAAAGGTACTTGACAGCCACCATCTGTGACATTGTAACATCCCTTCAGTGGCAAAGGAGAATAGGAGGAGGAGGAGGGGGAAAAATTAGAATAAAGAAATTATGGTTAAAAGTTCAATTCAATTTGGATGGATACTTTCCAATCTTAAACAAAAGGTCTCTATTAAAATACACGTGTGTATTATAAATTTCGATATGATTCATATCCTTTCCATTTACAGGCATATAGGACATGTTGGCTGGGACCCAAATACAGGTTTTGATGTAAGTAAAATGATCAAGTTATAAATCAATTATTTGCTTCCTTTTAAATACTCAAACCTTCACTTTCCTAGATATAAAGGACTATCATCACTGTCTCAATTAGAAACTATTATGCTATAAATAGATGCATTTGTTTTATGACCTGTTTGCAAGTGTGGCCACAGGCTTGCACGATTCTATGTTCGTGGAGCAAGCGGATGTAAAAATGAGTCCTCTCTGACCTGCGGGATGCACTTCGGAGGGTTGGTGTGGACTCAATGGGCCGAATGGCCTGCTTTCACACTGTATGGATTCTATGATTTTTGACTTATGTATTTCTGTTGAGTCAACATTAATTGCCTAAACATCCGTGCTCATTTTACTTACAGCTGAATAATCTGGACCCTGAATTAAAGCATCTATTTGACATGTGTGGAATTTCTGAGTCACAGTTGAAGGACAAAGAGACATCAAAGATCATTTATGATTTTATAGAGAAAAAAGGAGGAGTTGAAGCTGTGAAGAATGAGTTACGTAGACAGGGTAAGTTAAATACTATTTTCAAGACCTCGGCTTATTGACCAACTTCACTGTTTGCCAGAGTTTGAGAGTTGCCAACAGTGGCCAACAGTTGCCAACGAGGAGAATACTGAGATACAGTCTATTACACTAGACGGGATTGAGGTTCATAAGGAGGAGGTGTTAGCAATTCTGGAACGTGTGAAGATAGATAAGTCCCCTGGGCCGGATGGGATTTATCCTAGGATTCTCTGGGAAGCTAGAGAGGAGATTGCAGAGCCTTTGACTTTGATCTTTATGTCGTCATTGTCTTCAGGAATAGTGCCAGAAGACTGGAGACTAGCAAATGTTGTCCCCTTGTTCAAGAAGGGGAGTAGAGACAACCCTGGTAATTATAGACCAGTGAGCCTTACTTCGGTTGTGGGTAAAGTGTTGGAAAGGATTATAAGAGATAGGATTTATAATCATCTAGAAAGGAATAATTTGATTAGGGATAGTCAACACGGTTTTGTGAAGGGTAGGTCGTGCCTCACAAAACCTTATTGAGTTCTTCGAGAAGGTGACCAAACAGGTGGATGAGGGTAAAGCGGTTGATGTGGTGTATTTGGATTTCAGTAAAGCGTTTGATAAGGTTCCCCGTGGTAGGCTATTGCAGAAAATACGGAGGCATGGGATTGAGGGTGATTTAGCGGTTTGGATCAGAAGTTGGCTAGCTGTAAGAAGACAGAGGGTGGTGGTTGATGGGAAATGTTCATCCTGGAGTTCAGTTACTAGTGGTGTACCTCAAGGATCTGTTTTGGGACCACTGCTGTTTGTCATTTTTATAAATGACTTGGATGAGGGCGTAGAAGGATGGGTTAGTAAATTTGCGGATGACACCAAAGTCGGTGGAGTTGTGGATAGTGCGGAAGGATGTTGCAGGTTACAGAGGGACATAGATAAGCTGCAGAGCTGGGCTGAGAGGTGGCAAATGGAGTTTAATGCGGAAAAGTGTGAGGTGATTCACTTTGGAAGGAGTAACAGGAATACAGAGTACTGGGCTAATGGTAAGATTCTTGGTAGTGTGGATGAGCAGAAAGATCTCGGTGTCCGTGTGCATAGATCACTGAAAGTTGCCACCCAGGTTGATAGCGTTATTAAGAAGGTGTACAGTATGTTAGGTTTTATTGGTAGAGGGATTGAATTTTGGAGCCATGAGGTCATGTTGCAGCTGTACAAAACTCTGGTGCAGCCGCACTTGGAGTATTGCGTACAGTTCTGGTCACCGCATTATAGGAAGGATGTGGAAGCATTGGAAAGGGTGCACAGGAGATTTACCAGGATGTTGCCTGGTATGGAGGGAAGGTCTTATGAGGAAAGGCTGAGGGTCTTGAGGCTGTTTTCGTTAGAGAGAAGAAGGTTAAGAGGTGACTTGATAGAGACATACAAGATGATCAGAGGATTAGATAGGGTGGACAGTGGGAGCCTTTTTCCTCGGATGGTGATGGCTAGCACGAGGGGACATAGCTTTAAATTGAGGGGTGATAGATATAGGACAGATGTCAGAGGTAGGTTCTTTACTCAGAGTAGTAAGGGCGTGGAATGCCCTGCCTGCAAAAATAGTAGACTCGCCCACTTTAAGGGCATTTAAATGGTCATTGGATAAACATATGGATGATAATGGAATAGTTTAGGTTAGATGGGCTTCAGATTGGTTTCACAGGTCGGCGCAACATCGAGGGCCGAAGGGCCTGTACTGCGCTGTAGTGTTCTAGGTTCTATGTTCTATGTGGTATATCACTGATCTTTGGATTGGAATTTCACTTTATATAGCTAGCACGTCCTCATGTTAAATTTTCTAACACGTAATAGTTATATTTTTTTGGGGAAATATTGCTCAGCTTCTGTTTCCATCTAAGCTTTCTGCTTAATTCTTAACTGATCTGTGCAGAATGTGTTTATTTCAATCATATTACATTTTAGCTCTCTTTATTCTCTTTAATCTATCTGCTAAGTGTCTCATGCCTCAAATTATTTTCCTGGCTTTGAAGTGACAAAGCGTTGCATCATATCTCATTTTCATTTTATACTATTAAACAAATCTGTGGAACGGTGGACAAGCAAATAAATATATATGTAAACACTGATTAGGTGTAACATTTCCATGCCTGCAGTAGCATTTGTGTGACTCCGAATGAGATTTCTGAATGTGGGTAGTTTTGACCACACTCTCAAGGAGCTGGACTGAAGTTGTCCATGCGGAGGACACCTACAGGCATCAGAGAGATGATGCTTTCAAACCAAAAAAACAAATAGATCCCAGTTACTTAACAGGAAATGCTAGTGATATCTCTGTTGCATCATTTAGTTTTCTCAAATTCTGTATTGTGATTTACAGCCCATTATGCCTATGCCAGCTTTATTTTTGATCTGATTCATCTAATTATTCTTCCTGTCTCATTTTTACATTTTTATGTTCTACCTTAATTTGTTTTCTAGTTTCCTCTTGATTATTACATCTGCCTAAATATCCACATGGTGAACTATTACACATTAGAACTGTGGATGTTTCTATAAAAGAAGTCTACATGAACTATTTACCAAAGCAAGTCTATGTAAACGTCACTGCCCAGAAATTTCCCCCTTCGTTGCAGCATCCCCAGCCACCATAGCCCCATGTCACCCTCTGCTATATTCATCTACTTTCCATTTAATGAGATAATGTTATTTGCCTCAAGATATTTATTTTTAAGTTGTTTAAATAAATAAACAATTACATGTAAACGTTAAAGAGGGGAGGATTCCATCTGGAATAAAGTGAAAAGTCTATTTGAGGAGGTTAAATATTTTACTTTCGCGTACAGGTTCAGTAACTTTGGAATTCCGAAGTACCTATTCATTTATTTACTAAATAGATGAGGCAGTGGGAAAAGTAGAGTTTGAAAGTTGGTTGACAGATATGAAACAAAAATGTGGGTGGGTGTTGTGCCTTAAATTTTCTAAGGGTTAGAAGTGGTTTACCCAATGATCCATTCTGTGTGCATTTTTGCATTCGGCAATTTAAAATTGCAGTGGTTTCCCAGTTTCGGGGCACCACTTCACTCCCAGAATATTCTAGAGCTCCTTCAAACCCTTGCCATTGCCCTAACCCTTATAAATTCTATTTGTTGCCCCCTTCATTCCTATAGGTACCAAGTATGTATTCAATTTCACCAGTAGAAATAATCTACCACTGTCTGTCTTCAAAAACAATTCAAAATTTTGGATTATACATTAAACGACTTTTATTTCTTTTCTGTTCTGTTTTTAAAAAAAAAAAAATCATAACTTTTGTTATTTTGATGGATCTTTGTAGCTTTTCCATTGTTATAATATCTTTCTCTAATGGAATGCCCAGACTGCATGTTAGGGAATTATGCCCTCCATCATGCTAACATGGGTTAGAGATTTGAGGTGACAGTGCTGTTCATTTTTGACTTGTGCACCTTTCAAGGTTTTTTTAAACTTGGAGCATGGAATTAATCTAAATTTGCTGGTTCAAGTCTTGTAATTTTAACTTCCTTTTATATCCAGTGGTCCATTATGTAAATCCCTTAAAAAGATAAATCTACCTTTCTAAAGATCAATTTATCTCTCTTGTATGGTTGGCATATGCTCCAGTTTTCTAAAAATATACTTCACATTTCTCCGTATTGAGTTGCATCTGTCCCACTTTCTCCTTCTATTTGTCTTTTTTCCAAATTACCATGTCCCTTCATTTGACGACATGAACCGTTTTTATGCCTACTTCCAAATCCATTACATAACAGAAAGTAAGCATAATCTCAGCAAAAGTTCCTGGGCTACAAATTAATCATCTTTTGTGGGGTTATGCACAAGTGAGGTAAAATAGTTTTTCCTTTTTCTGGGAAAGGAATTGTGTCAAATTTGAAAGCTAAGATTATTTCGGCTATCTCTTTTAATTTTCTTCAATATTCTGAAATTCATACCATCTGGAACATGTTAATATTTAGTCCCACCAGTTCTTTAATTTCATTTTTGAATACTTCTAGTGGCTCAAGCATAAAATAAAAACTTGTTTGTTTTCCCTTTTTGCATTTTGATTTTCAGGTTCACCACAATGGTTTGTAGGTTTTTGGTCAAAAATGTTTGCTTGCTTGAAGTTTCCTTTTTAAGAGTTTGTACTGATCAAAACTTAGCACGAAATCTGTATGAAAGGAATGCACTAACAGCTGGATTTCATTTTTGAACCCTGCTACTTTTTGGCCTTGAACATTGTGATATTAAATCCTGCAATTTATTTTCCCAATTGCACAATGATTTGTTTTATTAATTACTTTGGCTGAGTATGACCTGTTTATCCAATATATAGGGTATTGCACCTCTTTTTATAGAAATGGTCCCCTTTATAGAAGATCTTTTTGGAAATTTTGTATTATAATGTATTTGAAGCCTTTGGACATTTGGGCACAAACAAATTCTGCCCAATTAATATGCTACAGTTTGACTGATTCCAAACCAACAATTTTACTGTATGAAGACAAAGTGGAATTGTACATACTGTTGAGAACATACTGTTCTCCATCCAAGAACAATATTAGTGAATTTGGTGCTTGTTATGCAGTGGCTTCAGCTTGTGGAGGTATTATAGCAATTAACATTATGCTAAATGAAGTCCTGTATTCAAAGTTTGCATGTAAAACTGCCAGACAAATGATATCTGGCTTGTTATTTTAAATGTGTTTGTAGAACGTGGG